GTCCGGTACCAATTCTACGAAGGGATGAGGGGGTCGGTTGGCCCAGGGCGGAATCGAACTAGCACCAGTGATGACGGACATCACTACCGCTGTGCTATTCGCCCCCATTGTATAATCTAGTGCTGATATATCACAACAGGCCAATAACCATGCATACGTGAGAAGCCCTACTACGAACACTTAGCGGATAAAGAACACTGATATGACAAACTCCATAACAAGTCGTAATAATGGTAAGCTTCTGAGATTGTTTGAACAATTCCAGGCGGTCAGTGATGACAGCATTTGTGACCCAACTCACATTTTTTTTTTCGTAGGCGGTTTTCATTGGAAAAGAAAGGTATCTGATCCATTAAGGAAATTCCAGAAACGATTTTCAGCCAGTTAACTTCAATGGCCGAAGAGAATACCGAAAAACTACGTAGATTCCAAATGCGGGATTTCTGGTGAAAGATCGTTCAGGAAATGCATCATTTTCTGGTGCTGGACTGGAAATGAACGTCGTTATTAATGTAAAACGAATAATCTCAATTATAATCGAGAAAATCAAAGTGAGTTCTTGTCAAAAAAGGTGCAGTACCTTTCTTGAAGCCCAGCCTTTCTTGTACAAAGAAAGAAGAAATGGTGTTGATAGTTCCTAAAATTGCATGCATTTATTTATTCCTTTGCTTATCCTACCGCCTTGATATAGGCAACATTACTAAGTCTAGAGGCGTGTGTGGCGCAATGGTCGGAGGCGCCCTGCAACACACACGTGGAATCAATCCCCGCACCCATAGCCCACCAAGCTTTCCATCCCTCCGGAGTCGACAAATTGGCACCAGACTTGTCTGGGAGGATAGCAGCACTGGCTCGATACATCGCTAGACCACCGCGAGTCATTGCAAAGACCAGATATGCATTCAATCGACTCCAAACGATTCTTAATCAAGTCGAATGCATGATGTATCACTCAGGGATTGATCAACGCCGAGAGCTTTATCTTTTTTATCTTTTACTAAGCCTAACAACTTAAACACGATTGTTATATTCCAATCGTCTGCTTCTTTTAGTGCTTTTGTTATGGTACTGCGAAATTCCTGGTTGTTTAGTTGTTTCAGCTAGTGAATTGTTTTTAAGTGATGTTTTATTCTAATACCCATCGTATAATGTTCTGTTTACATCAGCAGTGCAAACATAAACGTGTTTTCAGTTGGAAGCGAAACTCCATTGAACAGGTTGGACTAGTTCCCAGGATTGACTTTCTATTAACCTCGGCATTGGAATATGAATGCGTCGTTTTCTTGTTCAGCAATCGCGAGGTTTTTAAACAGCATACATTTACTTCTATAGAAAAACACAATACAATACTTTGGACTAGGTTTATTCTGCTTCACCACTGATGTTTCTGCTTTGGACTGTGATTAAATACATGAAATAAAAAAGCAAACAAAGGTATAAAATATGATCTGATAGTTACATGTAGTCGCCATTGCGGTGAATGTGACCGGAAACGTAAATGGCCAACGAAGTACAGCATCGTTGTCGCCTTGATGACACATAGACGGACAGATAGGCACTTCAACATTAACGAGTCATGCTCTTCATCATTATTCCTTTCCATTTATTTTCACCTTGTGTCTTTTAGCGTTTCTCTTCCCTAACTCATTCTTTCATTCTTTCGATCGTTTTCATTATCAGTTATTAGCCCATCTATTCACCGGCTAACTCAACTAGGCGCACGTGTTCTCTTTTTCTTTTGTCGTTCGTGGAAGCGGTTTAACAGGTTCCGCTTGTTCAAGAGAGGCCAAGAGTGTGGAATCGCACTTTTCACACAGGGCCCGTTATCACTGGATCCTACCGTTTCAGGGAAGCCTTGCCAAGCTCTGCGATAGCATATATTTACTCTTAATTGAAATTTCGGACTTTCCGAAATACTATAAAGCCGCCTGTGAAATGAAGTAGACTCGTTCGTGGCTCAATGCTAGATAGGCGCTACTTCATATGATTGACCCGGGCCGATAAAGAGATGTTGCAATTTAATTCGATGCGCATTATTTGTACTCGCTGCGATTGTAACCCATAAATACTATTCGTACTACACCGCACAGAGCAGATTTTTTCCCGTGAGCGAAGCCAAAAAACAACTGAAGTATTCGGTCTTAAATTTGCTGCAACATTACGTTTCCGGTATAAGCGACGCTTTCGAACCACTATAAACCTTGCGAAGCTTAGTAAATAATGAGCTGCATCAGCGCATTCATCGGTCAACTTCAATTGGAGGCATCTGAGCGTCTACTTTATCACTATTGTGGGCCTCACCTGCACAACTGGCTCTTAGGAATGCGCTATGTATTCGAGTTAATTAAGCATCACTAACTTAAATGAATGCATATTTCACTCAAAACATAACTCAAAGTGGCATAGTTGTTTTACTAAACTAGTGTACTTCCATTTCCCCATACAAATATAGTAACTACTAGCCAATCCAGGGAGAGTGTAGTGCTTGGTTACCTAAGGAGCGAATCGAACAAGACGTTAGGTGCATTGCAAAGCGCCTAATCAAACAGCTATATGCATCCTTCATTTAGGTACTACACCAAATAAGGAACTTAGCATATAAACTTGTTTTTTCAAAAGCTAGTCTTCCAACTGCTTTTAAGGGATTATAACCCATGAATCACTAACTGTTTAAATCGTGCAGCGCCACCTTTGATGCATATTGTGAGCAGGTCAATGCAAATGTTGCAATTGATTAAAACCTTAATAACATTGAAATCATGCTTCATAGAAAAAAACCGCTGCGCTTCCTACTGCACTCACTTTCTGCGTCACCACATGGTGCAACCATCACCGTCATTTTGTATCCAAAACGATGTGTTTGAAATGGCTGACCAAAAGCAAATCTCATTCTTAAAGAACCGTTTCTACTTGATAACATAGGTAGATAGAGTTTTTGACGAACTTCAATATGATATTAAAAAATCCTCTCAACGGTTTGCCGCCTCATCATGGCTGGGAGGTGTTCCTGGGTGTCGGACTGCGATGTACAGCGAGGGGATTCGTTCCTCGGCAAGGTCTCCTAAGCTGAGGAGTCCGGCGTTTCCATCAAGAAGCCTAGTTAAGAGCAAACTAATGCAGGCACTCACCACCGTTCTGGTATCAAAGTCGCATGGTGACAAATCTTCCTCTGATCCAAAAGGCTGCGACTGCCTGCTGTGGTGACGACCTAGGGCAGACTTTGGCCAAACTGACCTTGGAATTCCAGAGAACCATGATGGCTTAACCAGCCAATCTCCGAAAAATGATGATTATGCTGGGCCCGCATAACCATTGAAGACGGAACGTTCAAGCATCAAGTAAGTAAGTAGTAGCTGAGAGACGTGCGAAACAAAGGACCCGCATGGTGTGGTGGTGAACGCGTTACTCCCCGGAAAGGATAATAGCGCGTTCGTTCCCCACCATAGACACCTGCGGTCCAGAGTTTTGCAAATATCTCAGCAACGTTTAAGTAAGTAGTATTAAAAAGTGAAAAAAAGACGAACAACGGGCAGAACGTCCAAATTTTCGTCGTCGTTCAATCGCTACTTGCTGCTGCGCGATAATCAGAATTGAGGAACTTTGGTGTGTAACCACAACGTCACTAATTTGAATCCGACTGGTGCCGATCGTCGACCTCGTGCAATAAATTCATCGACTAACGTGATTTTCCATTTGTCCCGACCACACATAATACTACTCGACGCATTACCTTCACTCAATCAAAATACACGGAAAACAGCACCACACTTTTTATGGGAGGCTCTCAATTCTTACTCTTCATTGTAATAAAACAGCTATTGATGTCTTGCTGAGGGTCGCTGTACGGCGCAAGTCCAGTCTTTGTGAGGTTTCTGGTTACAGATGCCAACATCTTCTCAGATTGCAATGCCCGGGCTTTCTCATCTCGTCACGAAAGTAGTCACCAGTCTCTGTGGATGAAAGGAAATTTTTCCACCTCGCAACCAGGCCGCTAACAGAACGGCAATATTCGTTATCACTAGCATCCATTCAATTTTCCGGATGCAGATGTTGACAAGCTTTTTGGCGTGGATAATCCACTGGGTCATGACCCTCCTATTGTACATCGCAGCTGAATACCACGCTAAATCGTACGTTTGCCCAAGCAAATCACGCCATACCATCTAAAATGTTTGAAAGAATTTGGTGTTACTGTCACTAACTAACATGAATAGTAAATTTGCGTCGTCATTTTTTGCTGCCACCGAAATCATTTCGTTAATATTCGTTATACGAAAAATGAACTGAGGTCTAAAAATCTGTTATAGATAATCACTACCTGCGAAATCCTTTATACTTCAACATTTTTCTAATATTATTATGACCTACAGTAACATGCGCGTGTGGCGCAGTGGTTGGAGGAGCCAATTGATCCCCGCACCCATGGTCCACCAAGCCTTCCATCACTCCGGCGTCGACAAAAAATTAGTACCAGACTTGTTTGGGAGGATAGCAACACTGGCTCGATACATCGATAGGCCACCGCGAGTCATTTTAAGTGCCAGATATGCATTCAGTCACCTCCAACGATATTTAATGAAGTCGAATGTATGGCTCATCCCTCAGGGATTGGTCAACGCCGAGAACTTTATCCTTTATTCTATGCAAAAAAACTCCAATGTACCCTTTCTTGGATATGGAAAACTCTGCAGAAACGAAGAAATCTGCATTAAGTTCAGGAATTTCGCTTATCGGGCTAATGGTATTTTATTTCTTTTTATCATAATAACATACATATTATTTCAAAAAAGATCTTTCAAATGTCCCATAGATATCTGATTTTACAATGCATCGAAGCCATTCACTTGACTCATCTTAACGTCAGAAAACCGCTGTTGCCAGACCACTTAGTTTCCTACTGTAAAACAAGCGATTTCTGCAATAGATGATATGCAGTATTATCCACGAGATTGTGCACCGGATACAGACTTTTCTCGAGTTCGGATAGCATCAACGACTGTTCACGCAGCATATGTGAGCGGTTCCTTCGCAATTTCACCACCACGCATGGCAAGAGGACAAGATGATGTTGCCTAAAATTGTTTATTTTATGCTTTAAAGGATAGCTTTTCCATTAAAGATAGGAATAAATTCGTAATCAAATAGAAAAAAGCTGTTGAGAACATTTGGTAGAGACATGGAATGCGCAGTAGTTGAGAATGGTGTCCAGTACCTACTAAACTCCAGGTGACTCATCTCGATCATCATCCAGTGATGTTCACAAAAATTTTTAAATTAGACTAATTAAAACTAGAAACCTCGTACAAGATTAAAAGAGCGTCGCCGGGTGTGCTTGCTCATTCGAGTTGCTCAACTGAGGAAGATCCGGTTCGATGCGAGACGAAGACGCCACATCGAGACGAGGAACAGCTGTGGACCATCGACAAGGATCGTCGGCTCTAAGGAAGACGAAGACGTCGAAACGTTAGCCGAATAAACATCTCATACCAACCTCGTGTAATCTCAACAATATAAACAAATTTTGATGTTCATAAAAAAGGCAAATTCCCGAAATAACAGTCAAAACCAAAGAATCGCTTCGGACTCTAGTATGGCGTCGGCGTAAGCCATTTCTGGAGTTGTATACATTGGAATACTCCGAAAAGTATTTTCTCGGAGAGCTTATCCTTCACTGTGATTAAAGAATACTTCTGCATGAGTTCTGGTGCAACATCAATGATGTACAGCTCATAATTCCACCTATACAAGCGGGAAAGTGCTTTAACTAGCCAAAACCTTAAATAATAATCGACCTAAGTACCATGAATAGTGGTCGTCCTGATAGCAGACAATTCACAGAGGGCATTCCTCTAATCCTCATGAGAGGGACATGTTTTCTAGATGATGATGACGAACCGATGAGACTCAAATTCGAAACAAACATGAGTTCTAGTGCGAATGCTACTTTGTGGAGACCATCTGTATAAGTCGTCTCCATGAAGATGCAAGCATCCCTTAAGACCACCACTTTCACGTTGGGTGGACGTGTTCATAACTAAGGTCAAACAGCAGGTGCAGCTCTTTTACAGATCGTGGTATGAGACTCGTGTCTGTCACAATGCTCGAATCAAACCACCACAATAGACAATGCTTGCGAGGCGAAGAAACGAATGGAAAATATGCTGGGGTCCTCACAACTCCTCTAGACCGGCCGTCTGACAATCCAAGTAACCAACTGAGCAATTGTATAAGTCTATGTAAATGGGCACTGCTGAGTGGGGTTACTTCATTCGATCGGAGCTCCATTCTACTGGATTTGACTGGATTCGAAAATGAAGACCCACACCGGAAGAGCAAACGGCTCGCGACCCTCGACTGGGACTATTGCGCTCCAAAGAAGATGAATGGGCAAAACTTGTTGCAATAAAGATTTGGCACCAGGTCGGTGTTAGCACACGAACAGCAAAGAAAATCGGGCTACTTAGTCGGTGCACAGGCGAAAAAATCGGTATGGAACTCAGGTACTTAAGTCTGTGAAGCAAAAAAATTGTAGTATCTTTCTCATCATGGTATTTTCAAAGATATCTTTTTATACTATTAGCTAGTAATAGCCACAGTTAATTGACGAACAAAGTTGTTCAAAAGACGGTTTCTTAAAAAATATTCATGCACGAATATGTTTCGTTGGATTTGAGGACTAGGTGGTGACGTAGGTAACACGCGAGCCCCTGGCAAGGGTAATTGCAGACCGGAAGATGCCATGGGTTCCGAGTTTTGCTAATATCTCAGCATCATTGTGGTTACTTTTCTTTATGCTGTTGCACGAGCTTGGTACAAATATTTGTCCAGTTAACGTTTCGGTACTTTCGTCCTCTTCAACTCCGCTATGGTACCAGTCGATTGCTCACAGCCCTCCAATCTCATGATGTGGGTTTTCGTAATCCCACCGAATAGAATGTTCTCGAGCGGAGCACCGCTGTAATGAAGAACATCGGTCGGCAGTGTCCTATATAAGGCGGTTGTTGATAGACTAATTTTTCTTCGATAATAATTTACTTCCTCTGGATACGCAGAGCGTATGTGGCGCAGTGGTCAGGAGGTGCTCTGCAACATACGTGGAATCGATTCCCGCGCCCATGGCCCAACCGACCTTCCATCCATTCGGAGTCCGCAAATTGGTACCAGACTCATCTGGGAGGATAGCAGCACTGACTCGACTCATCGGTAGGCCACCTCGAGTCATTGTAAAGGACAGAAATGCATTCAGTCACTTCCAACGATAATTGATGAAGTCTAATGCATGACGTATCCCTCAGGGATTGATCAACGCCGAGAGCCTTATCCTTCTATCTAGCAAACATACTTTACTATAATAAACCAACTTACACTCAACTTCCGGATGAATAAGTGTTATCTATGTAATTTTCATACATAATGATCGGTTCGTTACGTGAATTCAACGTTACGCTTCGTTTCAAACGCTGAAATTCTCGTGTGTTTAACGCTGTTTGATCATTAAGCTCATTGAAACTTCGCAGTTGGTTAATAAAAACTTAAATTTGTTTTCAGTTCTTCCCCTTCTTCCTTCTGCTCTCCATTCTTTTCTTAACATTTTCATTCTAACATAACATACCTGTCATCCCTTTCGTGGAGTTTCACTTCCATTTCGTTGCCAACTTTATGACAACCATGTTCGACAAATGGACATGCCATCACGCCACTCGGCATGTTGTTCAGCAACTCGGGTCCGGTTATACCTATGTTTTTCACAGATCAAAAACACTCCGCGCTGAGCAGCTTCAAGGATATCAAGAGGTTGGCTCCATCTGCCTGCCAGTAAAGTGGAGAACCTTTTCGATGGAATTTTTCGGCCTTTTTCGCGACAATGTTCTTGCCGACCACATAATTTTCACCCCGCTCCTCATCGTTGATTCGTAGTGTTTCGTTTTCCATGTCTAGAAGAATATCGTCCGGACTTTCAACACAAAAGCCCGTGTTGGATAGCTCAACGACTGTATAAAAATGTGGCAAATGAGTTCATTCTGATAAAATAAACAGTTGAAAATAATACGCATTGGAACCAACACTTATGTGTTGAAATAACACTCTGTGGAAACTTGGCCTTGATCAAGATGTAGTTCATTATTCTTTAAAATGCATTTCCTCACCACTTTCGTCAACATTGCACCATTGTGTCGTTAAAATAAATGCAGAGCAGCTTTTCATAGAGTGGATAAGCTTTACCTCGACTTTCCTTAACATACATTACTACTGAGAAGGATAAAGATCTTGGCGTTGATCAATTCTTCAGGGATGCACCATTCATTCAACTTCATTAAGCACCGTTTGGAGGTAACTGAATGCATATCTGGCCTTTACAATGACTCGCGGTGGCCTACTGATGTATCGAGCCAGTGTTGCTATCCTCTTATACAAGTCTGGCACCAATTTGCCGATCCCTGAGGGATGGAAGGCTTTGTGAGCCATGGGCGCAGAGATCATTTCACGTGCATGTCGCAGTGGCGCCTCCAACCACTGCGCCGCATAGTAAGCCTGAGATGGGACATTCGCTGTTCGGTGAGAATCGGTAACATTTTGGTAATATCAACGTTGGGCTTGGCGTCTGTGTTCATGCATCGCCATATGTTTATATTGAATACTTTGAAAAGTCGTTGGTGGTCTGCGTATAAAGAAAAAGACGGCAGCAGCGAAACATGTTCGATGCATGTGGGCCGCAAAACAAGACGCCCTGCAAGACACATGGGTGAACAATTCCTGCACCCCTGGCCCACCAAGCCTTCCATCTCTCCAGGCACCGCAAATTGGTACCAGACTTATGTGGGAGGATAGCAGCACTATCTCGATACATCGGTAGGCCACCGCGAGTCAATGAATAGCTCAGATACGCATTCATGAGCATCTCTCAGGAATTGATCAACACCCAGAAATCTATCTTTTCGTTTTATTACCATATATGATCAATACCTATACTTAGCACACGATTTGTCTACAGTTTTTCTTTTTTAGCATATCGATGATAATTCTATCACAGATTTTTTAAATATTACCGGGTAGCCAGTCGCGTTCTTGTTTCTTCTTGTCCTCGTTGGCAGTTTTTGGTGGAATCAGTATATCTTAATAGTGGGATTGTTATTGAAGAGCGAATTAGTAAAAATCTGCCCAAAGTAGTTCTGTGCTTGTTACAAATTTTAAAATACTGTAATGCAAAGAAGTGTGAGAGCTAAAACAAGCAGCTTTGACTATTTGGCAAGAAAAAACGATGAACACAAGATCTAATAGCAAAAAACAAAGAAAAAAGCGAAAAAAAGAGCCTCGATATCCTTGTTGAGCATGATATCGAAGATTTTTCCTTCAAGAATCAATTTTTTAGAATAGAATTACACCGCCTGCCAACGGCTTACCTCCCTCATTGTGGCTGTGAAGTGTTCCTAGGTGTCGGACTGCAAGTGTCTCGCAAGCTCAGAAGGAGCCTGGAGTTTCCAACAGGAAGCCTAGCCAAGAGTAAACCAATACCAAGATCCACCACCGCACTGGTCTTAAAGTCGCATGATGGCAAATCTCCCTCTAATCCACAAGGGCTGCGACTGCCTGTGGTGGTCAAGACCTGGGGCTGAGTTTGGCCAGGCTGATCTCGAGATTTCAGGGAACCACAATGGCTTAGTCAGCAAATCTCCGAAAAATGGTGATTATGTTGGGATCCGCACAATTAATGATGACGAGTCATTCAAGTGTCCAAGTAAGTAAGAATTTTATCGAGAATCACTTGACCAACGCCGAGGTTAGTAGAAAATCGGTCGTGGGAATTACAAAAAAAGACTTTCAAAAATCTTTCCCATCAATCACTTTCCTCAATCACCCCATTATTTCTTCGTCATGAAAATATGTACGGCAACAAGAAAACAAATCGACAATCGACCTCGGTTGTTTCTAACGTTTCTCAAGTGCTTAATTTTTGCTGTGAAAAGACACTTCTTGCCATGAGAAGTGGCTTCTTTCGGCTCATTGACAATTTCCAACTACAGTAAATTGTCATGAAATGTTGATATATTTATTTATGTGATCTTATAAACTGATCTTCTTAAGCTGACGCGAGGTTGGTACAGATCTTCGTTGTCGTTGTCATTGTTTTTAATAACTCCCAAGTCCGACTTTCTATTAACCTCGGCATTGATTGAATATATCTTTCTACTTCTCTTCAGCAAGCACGAGGTGCTATGCTATTTTATTTCTTTATTTACGCACAAGCTGACGTTTCGGCGGATTTCGCCTTCCTCAGAGCCTGGAAGGGTCAAGTTGACAGCAATCCACTCGGCCAAACACTTCCATAACCAAACAGAGAAAACGCTAAACCAAGATTTCAATCACATTTAGCATAGCTCTGCACACTCACCGCTTTCTATGAGTCTTCCACTGAGTATATCGCGTGAAGACCGACCGCACAGAATTCACATGGAAGCGTATGTGCCCCTCCTATCAGAATAACAGGTTTATATACTGTCCAATATCACGCGTGATAATGAGGCATTCCTCCCNTTTTATTTCTTTATTTACGCACAAGCTGACGTTTCGGCGGATTTCGCCTTCCTCAGAGCCTGGAAGGGTCAAGTTGACAGCAATCCACTCGGCCAAACACTTCCATAACCAAACAGAGAAAACGCTAAACCAAGATTTCAATCACATTTAGCATAGCTCTGCACACTCACCGCTTTCTATGAGTCTTCCACTGAGTATATCGCGTGAAGACCGACCGCACAGAATTCACATGGAAGCGTATGTGCCCCTCCTATCAGAATAACAGGTTTATATACTGTCCAATATCACGCGTGATAATGAGGCATTCCTCCCTGCGGTTCATTTTCGGATTTTTGGAATTTATCCAGAATGCCTCTAGAGTTTTGCACGCTTGTGTTCTCGATTCTTGCGCGAGGATCGTAACCCTTACTTCAAAATCTTCTCCGTTATGTCTCTGCGTGCTATGCGTACCTAGTGGAGTACCTGGCTTACGTTTGCCGACTAGGTGTTCTTTTATACGTATGCAGAGTGGCCTACCCGTTTCGCCAACGTATTCGTCCCCGCACGTTTTACAAGAGATCAAATAGACCATACCCGAACTCATGCAGTCACCGTCTCTACCATTGGGGCAAATTATGCAATTTTGCGTTGCACATAGACGGTCGTATAGGCGGTTACGAACTAGCTGGCGCCTTAGATTATTCGGTGGTATTTCGATTATCGCTGCCGAATTCTCTAGANGACCATACCCGAACTCATGCAGTCACCGTCTCTACCATTGGGGCAAATTATGCAATTTTGCGTTGCACATAGACGGTCGTATAGGCGGTTATGAACTAGCTGGCGCCGTAGATTATTCGGTGGTATTTCGATTATCGCTGCCGAATTCTCTAGACTGGCCCTTCTTCAACAGCATTTTATAGCTGCACTTACTTAATTTGAAATGAAGGGCAGTATTAACGGGACCTTATTGTCGCTAGAGTTATCGTTGGGGTACTTGTGGTTTCCTCTACACCTATCTCGAGCTACGGTTTCGTAGCCATTAAAAATGGCTATTTGCCGTGCCAAGTTCCGGGACTCCTCTCTCTGTTGTCTCCCTGTGCACACGCTGGTAGCCGTTCGATACATGTTTCTCACAAGCGCCCTTTTCGTGTGAGAGGGATGAGAGGAGAGGTAATGAACAAGGTTGTTTGAACTAGGTTGTTGAGGTTGTTTTTAATGTTATTGACCGATGGCTGACGTTTCGGCGACTTCGCCTTCCTCACAGCCTGGACGTACTTTATGTTAGAATACTTTTTATTGTTCGATGGAAAAGAAGGATAAAGTATTAATGAAGATCAAACTTTCAAATAGACGCCATATTGAACAGAAAGGCCACTCACCGTGATGTTACGTGCGGGACTGGCCCACACGTAGTTCACGTGGAGTCGCGAACAAGACACGCCCCGGGGTCAAAATATCATTTTGAAATAGGGCGCCAGGTCACGCGTCATAGTGAGGCATTCGTCTTTCCGGCTCATCTTTGGATTTTTGAAATTTATCCAAAACGCCTCAAGTCTTGCGCGTCGATGTTTTCGATTTCTGCGCTAGGATCCACACAGTCACTTCAAAATCATCGCCGTTGTGCTTTTGTGCCCTATGCGTACCTAGAGGGGTGTTTAAACGGATTTTAGCTTTTCCATCTAGATGTTCTTTTATGCGGACACAAAGTGGTCTACCCGTTTCCCCGGTATATTCCTCGCCGCATACATTACATGAGATTAAGTATATTATACCTGAACTCATGCAATCCCCGTCTCTCCCGTTAGGACAGATCATACAGTTTTCTGAGCTGCACAAACGATCATAGAGACGGTTTCGAACTAACTGGCGGCGTAGGGTATTGGGTGGGATGTCAATAATCGTTACATAATTTTCAAGACCACTTTTCTTAAGCACTTTTTAATGGCGTGACTTACTTCATTTGATATGAAGGGCAGCTTAATGAAGATCAAGCTATCAAGCAGATCCTCGCACGCGAATCAAGAACACAGGCGCGAAAAACTCTCGAGGCACTCTGGATTAATTCCAGAAATCCGAAAATGAACCGCAGGGAAGAATGTCTCATTATCACGCGTGATATAGGGCAGTATATAAAACTGCTTTTCTGATGTGAGGGGCACATTATACTTCCACGTGATTTCTGTGCGGTTGGTCTCTACGTGACATACTTAGTGGAAACCTCATAGAAAGCGGTGAGTGTGCAGAGCTGTGTTCAAAGTGATTGAAATCTTGGTTTGGAGTTTCTTTGTTTGGTTATGGAGGCGTCTGGCCGGGTGAGTTGCTATCAACTTGACCTTTCCAGGCTCTGAAGAAGGCGAAATTCGCCGAAACGTCAGCTTAATCGTGAACAAAGAACAATAACACCTCGCGTTTGCTCA